TTGGTTAGAAGCGTTTGGACCGTATGCCCGACGCTTATACCTCCTTACTTTGGTTAGAAGCGTTTAGACCAAGTTTCGACGCTTATACCTCCCTCTTTGGTTTGAAGCGTCTGGAACAAGTTTCAACGCTCATACCTTTGTTTTGGTCTGAAACATTGGAACGCGTTCTGATGTTTATACCACCCTCCGGTGTTCACACCGTTCCTTTCCCTCTCTTACGTGTGATACGCTGAGAGGTGTTTTTGTTTCCCTTTCTTGCGTGTGATACGTTGAGAGGTGCTTTTCTTCCCTCTCTCAAGTGTGATACGCTGAGGGGTGTTTCCTTTCCCTCTCTCGCGTATGATACGCTGAGAGGTGCTTTCGTTTCCCTCTCTCGCGTATGATACGCTGAGAGGTGCTTTCGTTTCCCTTTCTTGCGTGTGATACGTTGAGCGGTGCCTTTCTTCCCTCTCTCGCGTGTGATACGCTGAGAGGTGTTTCCCTTCCTTCTCTCGCGTGTGATATGCTGAGAGGTGTTTCCTTTCCCTCTCTTGCGTGTGATACGCTAAAAGGTGTTTCGTTTGAGACTTCGGGTATTCCCGATAGTCGCTTTTAGCCTTTCCTGCATGAGGCGTAGTTAAGCTTGCATAATTTTCTTACATCCTTTCTGCATAAAATGTAGTTCGGTTTGTAGTTCTCACGTGTAGCGTGTTTGCTTACGAGTTTGCTGTAGCATTTCTTTACATAACATTTGCATCTAGATGTTTCATTACAACCCTCTTTGCATGACCATAAGTTATTTTCTGTATTGTGCATGTCACTTGCATTTTGCTCCTACCTGCGAGCACATCTATTTTGTTATCTTGCCTGTTTGTCTAAGTCTTCGCCTCTGTCAAAAATGGGTCGTCTCTGGGCTTTGACATTCACTCCCGTCATTTCATGACTTCCGAGTTCTGTCAAAGAGGGGCAACTGTAGACACCCCATTTTTGACCGACCTCAAGACTTTGACGTCATCGGTTGTGCACTCGATGATTGCGCATGTTTGTGCTTGTTTTGAGAGCCCGAGGGTCTCGGCTGTGTGCCTTGTCTTTGAGCCTCTTAACACTTTGTGTTTTGGCCTTGGTTTTTGGGCCAAACCTTATGCCTCTTGCCTAGGGGGGGAGAAGGCCTTGCCGGCCACTTTTGGCACTTGCCGGCCACTTTCCTCTCTTGTAGGCCACTTCAAGTGGTCAGCCGACTAGGGGAAGTGGCCGGGCGGCCACCTTAACTGGCCGGCGGCTAATTTTTCTCCTTTTTAGATATTTTCAAATCTTTTGAGCCAACTGTGGCTCACTGAACTCATCCTCCATACACGTGTATGGAGGGATGAAGCAAGCTTTTTGTTTGCTTGCTCTATATAAGGGGAGCTCCCTCCCCCTTTAGAGGGATTTACAAAATTTCAGAGCTGAAATTTATCTCTCTCTAGAATTCTCACTCTCTCTCTATATTGTGCTATAGTAAGCTTAAAAGTGTGTTTTCTTCACATATTTGCACTAAGACACCTAGTCAAACACCTTCACTTTGGAGCTGAGGTCCATTGAAGCTTGATTTGAGGTCTTAGACTTTGTTTTGGCTCAGAATTGTTGCTGTCTTGCTACTGTTCTCCAAGGGTAAGCTTCTTCTCATTTTAAGCGTGTTTTTGTACACTAGTTTGGGCCACCTTTGCATGCTATTTTGGCCTAGTTGTCAACTACAACAACCTCTTTTTTTAAGTGTTAAAAATGTTGGTTTGAGTCCTTGTTGGAATTAGGGGTGGTCCACCCTTTTTCATTGCTTATTTGCTAAGTTTTGTGCCATCCTTTAATGCTTTTGAAACAATCTCTTTTTGGCCTTTTAACCATTGAATTCCAGAGGAATTTCAGTGGTGGAAAAGTGGTCTTGAGTTCCAAAATGGGAAGGGGTGGTCCCCTCTCCTCTTATCTTGCTTGCATGTGTTGATGGCCTACCAAGTGAGCATGTGTTTCTTCCTTTTTGAAGCTTAGTTCAAGCATGTTTTTGTGACTTTTTGAACCTACTCTAACTCTGTTTTGGGCTGGTTTGGCCACTTGTTGCTTATATCTTACACTTGTAGTGCAATCATGCTTGTTGGCTTAACATGCTTCATGCTTTAGCCTATCATCCTAGTTTGTGTTAGCTCTTGTTTTTGGCCTTGTTTTAACATGCTTTAACTCTGTTTTGAGTGGTCTTGGCCATGTGAGACTTGTTGTGCATAGTTGTAGTGTAAAGGCCTTTGACTAGCTTTGAGTTTCAAAGTTCCTAGCATGCCTTGCTTGAGTTGTTTGCATGCCTTAGCCTCATTTCTCACATGATTTCAGTGTATATAGCATAGTCACGTTCTCACATATTCCACTCTTTCATAGATTTTGTGAGTTGTGCCTTATGCCTTGTTTGCGAGCCAATACTTGAGCATGATTTTATTGTCTCATGGACTTCCATCTCAGCATGTTTTGGCCTTTATTTTGACATGTTTGAGGTCTGTCCAGAGTTGGTTTGGTCCTTTGAGTTTGATATTACATGCTTCTAGAGTGATACTCTTTACTAGCTTAATGTATTTGGCTTTTGAGCATGCATTACATGAATTGTTTGCATTGTTTTTAAGTCGCTTAGCATGCTATTTCAGTGCTGAAATATGTGTCATTACACTCCATTGTTTCAAACTTTCATTCGTTTTGAAAGTGGCCTTAAGCCTCTTGTTGGCTTGAGCATGAACTTGAGGCATTCATGCCTATTGGTTTTAATCTTTCCTTGAGGATTTCTACTAACCACCAGCATGATACTTTCTTCATGCTCAAGGCACTCGAAGCTTAGGTCATCTTTCAAATTAGAGGACTTTTCACAATTGGACTTAACCGGTTAATGGACTAATTAGTAAGTTAAAATGAGTAAACAAGAATTGAATCAAGTAAAACATGCCAAGATAACATATGTGTGTTGCATTGCATTTGTTTGGATCGGACGTTAATCCAAACACAAGAAATGTGAAACGTTTCATACTCAAAATGATGAAACGAGTCACATTCCTTGGTCGTTGTCACCCTTGAGCATGCATGATAGGTTGACGACACTTTGAGTCTTATGTGCTCATTCACTAAGCTTGTACAAGCTTGGTTCTTAGGCCATCATGTATTGAGATGCTTGATTGGTGGCTTGAGAGCCAAGTATCACACTCCTTTGAGCTTGAGACATGATGAGGAGGGTGGTAGTATACACATTTCTAGCCAAATACATTGTCTTGGCTCTGTTGCTCTCTATTGCAGCAAAGACAGAATTCTGGAAGGAGAAGTGGTCGGCCGACCACTTGCACTAGCCTACCGACCACTTGCACTGGCCGACTGGCCAGTTGAAGTAGCCTACCGACCAGTTGAGGTGGCCGACCGGCCACCTGAAGGAGAAATTTTCCAAAGTGTTCCTATTTTGGGGTAAAAGCCATCTGGAAGTTTGTGCAATGTTCTGAGATCACAGTGAGTGCAAACAAAGGCAACCCATGGCAAGGCAATGCGTTTTCGGGCGAAGCACACTGAGCATGCATGTCTCCCTCCCCCGAGGCCATTTTACTGCTTTACTTAGCTAGTTAATTTACTGGTTTTGTAATTAATTAGTTAATGTGTTTAGCTAATTTAATTCGTCTTTGTAATATTCTAAAGAGCTTAGATTAGCTAATTATTCAATCTCATTTGGTTTGTAATAATTAATTAGCTAAGTTAGTTAATTAGTTGTTTTGTAATAAGTAGCTTAGCTTAGCGTAGCTAGTTAGCTTATTTATTCGGACCCTCCTTCGTGAGGGCGCAATGTTGTAATAAACATGCGTGTGTGTGTGTGTGCATGTCTTCCAACCCCACTTCTTTCTCCCTTTTACTTATCAGCTTTCGATGGTTAGTTTAGGGCATATTTCAATTAGCATACCTTATGCTTTGCATGCGTGCATCATTCATTTGTCTTGCATGCACCGGGCTCGGCGCATCATTCAAATTGCATTGTATTTCAATACCTATTTGAATACGTGTATCAATTGTTGCATTCATATGCCATCTTAGATAGCCGAGCCTATTTAGTTGCATTATTACATGTGTTGATAGGCGTCTATCTTTGCCATTGAGTCAAATTGATAATGGATTCCTTACGCGAGAAGAGAAGGACTTGCTCAAAACAAGAATTGGAAATCATAAGACATCCATTGAAGCCAAATTAATTTGTCCATCAAGTCAGGAATCTAATATATTTCTTAAGAAGTGGGATATGCCTAAGAAAACAGGCAAAGTGAATTCAACTTATAATCTAACGACAAGTTGGAATGATGCTGTGGAGAGTAACAAGTTGTGCGAAAGAATGATTGTACAACTTATGTCGTTTTGAGTGGGTTCAAAACTGTGGTTCGCTCTTGTTGAAGTGAAGAGGATTTAGGCGAAAACACATCAGAGGTGTAGTTGCTCATGTGAACGTGGAAGTTATTAAGGAATTAATATTACTTGTTTGTTTGTTTTTCTGAAAATTTTTATACATAAAAGAGATTTTTAATATAGTTAGTTATTCAACTGAGTATATTCTTCTTACTTTAGTGATTGAATGCTGTTATATAGGTAATTTGTTGACATGTTCATTGACTACTCAACTCAACTGGGCATACTACAAAATGAAAGCTGTAGATTGATCTTTGTCTTGTCTGCTATGATATGGTGTTTGTCTGCTATGATATGGTAGTGAACCATGAGTTCATGACTAAATAATCATATGAATATTCTGATGTATCTTGAAATCATTGGCAATGAATAAGACAACTTATTGATAAGACAACTTATTGATAGAGACATCAAGATGAAAAGGTCACTCTTAGTGAATATAGTACTACGACTTATTCACAAACACATTCAAGATCAAAGGGTCAATCTCATAGTTAATAATTAAGACAACTTTATTGACGAAGACAGTAACATGAGCGTCAGTTTAAGTGAATAAATTTTTTTATTGACAATGACTTCTAAGATAAAGGTCATTGCAGTGAATTATAAAAGCTGCCTTTGGTACCATCTTTTCTCAGTCATTCTCTGTTAACCCTATCTTAGGAAAAGATCTGAACTTTGCTCTTGTTCAAGCCTAAGAAGAAGAAGAAGATGGAGGATAGTGAGTTGATTGTTGAGGAACCCTCCTGCTGGTCTAAATTCCATCACATGTTCGAGGTTGGGAAGAATGATCTGCTCAGACTTGAAAGTGAGCCAAAGTTGAAGATCATACGACAAATCATCAAGAACCCAAAGTTTGATGATGTTGATTTATACCACCTCACTAAGTTTGAGTTACAGAACTCAACAAAAGTATGTGGCATCTCTGTATTTGTTGACTCGAATAAGAGTCCAAAGCCTGAATGGGTTGGTTCAAAACAGCCACGTAGTGATAGAGATTATGGCGATGAAGAAAATGCCAGGACAAAGAGGAGGATGAATAACATGGCGAGTGGAGCTCCACCTGATCAGCAGCCACCAAAACTGCCTGCAAAATTGAAGGAACTTTACAAACATCGTAAGATTTCTAAGGCGGTTTTAGTGATTCAAAAGACCCTTTACAGCACAGACGTTAGCCCTGGTCATTGTCGTCTGTCTATGCCGCTCAGCCAAATCAGCAACAAGGAATTTATCAGCAGAGAGGAGAAGGATTTGCTTAACTCAAGGACTGGGAAGCAGGTACCACATATAGAAGCTAAGCTAATTGAACCAGCAGACGATGAGTGTAGAGTATATGACGTAAACCTCAAGAAGTGGGACATGATAACAGACTCGGGCAAAGTCTATTCAATATACAATCTAGTGAGAGGGTGGAATGACTTTGTGAAGATGAACGGACTGTGCAAAGGTGTGACAGTGCAGTTGTGGGCATTTCGAGTGGACTCAGAACTATGGTTCTCTCTTTTGAGAGTTTAAAGTGGTTGATCAAGTGAACTTGCTTCTTCTATAATGGGTTATGTCGTAGGCATTAGCTATATATTTTCTTTTAATGCTCCTCTCAACAAGTCTGATAGTTATGTAGTGAACCATGATATATGCCATGACTAAATAATTATATGAATAATAATATGATATCTTGGAATTTAGATTTTAGATTTGTAAAGAAAAATAATGAGAAATTCTATACTTCCCTAAACCATAGTCCTTAAATTCACCCTTAATTGACATGTAGTCCAAAGATTTTAGATTTGAGGTGAGAAAAGGAAAGGGAAAAATAAAAATAAAATATTTAAGCCAAATTTTACTAACTTCTTTACTTTTCCTCTTCACAAATCTCTTTATAAAAGCAATGGTGTAGATTTAGCAGTAGTATCATTGTTTTTTGAGAAATGTAATTTATCTAACAGTTTTATTTTACCATTTTGTTTCATCTCCTAAGTTTACTGATGTAATAAAAAGCATCTTTATGTGTAAGATCTGCCATATATTTAATAAAAAATGAGACTTATCATGTTACATAAAAATCCTATGTAGTAGTTCTAAAGAACTATTTCAGAGATATATACAACTTCTTGTTTTTTTTTTTTTTTGAATGGCAATAATGTCAATGATCTTGCCATAACATCCGCCAGAACTCATCCAATTTGAAAGCATTTTATGCCATACACATGTACTCTTGAGAACTGTTGCGAATGGTGAAATATCACTATTCATATCATAACTGGTCCTGTCGGAAATCCAAGTGCAAAACGGAAGCAGACTACTCAATAAAATATCAGTGCTTTTGCTTGAGCCAGTTTCAATTGCATAATATTGGTGAGTTAAGAGGATTTTTAAATGCAATCAATTGGACAAGTACTCTCAATTGAATTGAGAGTTCAAGGATATCCCTTCTCGTCAAATGTAAGAACAACTTGTATTATGCAACGGTAGTCGGTATTGAGTGTGGGGAATGTATTGTCATATTTTCAGAAATGGTTAATTATCCAATTTGACATAATTGTCTAGACATTAATAAAAAATATAATATTCTCCTACCAATTAACCAAGGAAAAAAAAATTGACATACAATAATCGACTCCTTTCAGTTATCACACACTAGTTGCAAGTAGTGCAAATCTATCACACTAGTTCTCAAGAGATGGATAAAGATATAGTTCTTGTCAAGATTTCTCTCACATTATCTGCATAGCATGCTGAATTTCAATGTCACAACCAATACCAAGGTTATTCAGCTCTTGCTTCACAAGAGAAACATAACAACTTTAATTATATTAGCAACACTGAGTCCAAAGAGAAGGTAACCTAAAAAGCCAATTTTTGCCCACTTTATTTCTTTTTTCTTTTTCCTTTGCAAATCTATAAATCCAAGATCCAAACATAAGGTAAACACCAACAAAACAAATAAGAAACATTGTCCAGTGATTGGACTCCAAGCAAATCAGGATTCCAGAGAGTAATTCACAAACAATTGGAAAGTTTTCTCACCATTTCCCATGGAATTTACAAAAACAGAATTCCTCTGAAAAAACAACCATCACATGCTGCGTAGAAAACAAGTTTAAGCCATCTTTCCAAATGTTTTTTGTGATCTGATTTTCAAATGGATTGAAATGCCAATAACTAGCTAAAGAAGAGCATCAATCAAACCATATGAACCATCTTTCACTTTTCAAACATTATTCATCTTGAACTACCATCATATCACTATCTAACCCATCTTAACAGACGATGCCAATACAAATAATCAAATCCAAGTCAAAAAAATTAGCTAAAAGATAAGTATAAAAGAATAATCTTCATACCAAGATGAAGAAAATGAATATACATGGGTAAATTTACACATACAGTTTCTAAAGTATACTAGTTATTTCATTCTGGTGCCCAATCTTTAATTTGTATCCGTTTTATTCCTAAACTATACGCATTAATTCAATGATCCCTTCCTACAATTAACTTTAGACAAAAATGTTGCATCATGCTTATATAAAGCTTTGAAGAAGAATATCTTTAAATTGACTTAAAAAATGGACAGCAGAATACAGTTTAACACAAACATACAAAAATTGGGGTTTTGGGGGATTTTAAAGATTATCTCAACACACTAGAAACACAATGGATAGAGATTAACTTGTCTTCGCAATATGAGAGAATCAATAGACTCTATTCATTGAACTCTTCAATTTAATTTGTTTGTTTATGTTGAATTCATGTGTTCCCAGAACAGGTTTTTCTTTTATTTTTTCTCAAAACCCAAATCATGTGTCGTATATACACACTACCTAATATAAGGTTGATGTAATCACGATGCCAGTGTTTTCAATCTAATGCTCAATGACAATTATAGGAAAGTAACACTTTGAAATCATGTGTAAAGTTCTAGAAAATAATTGAAACAATTCAAGGGTTTAGAGATCAAAATGAAATGCCCATTTGTGTAAAATATGCCCAACTCATTTCCAATTCCAATCTATATAACAAAGAATAAATTTTATTTTTGACCTATCATCATTCCAAGCATTAATCAAACAACACAAAGAAAATGAACGAAAACCATAATTCAAAATTAATCAAAAAGCTTAAAAACCATCAACAAAATCTCTGATTAAGGACTCTTAATGAGTTCCTTACAAATAAAATCCCAAAATACAAAACATAAAGCTCGTATCACTTGTCTTTAAGCAACAACTAAATAAAATCTCTAAATCCCATCATCAAAACAAGCTTTAAATATTAAAAAAGAAGATTCCAATAGCACCTCAGAACCCAAGCTTGGTACGACGCCAATGCCTGCGCTTCGCGTTGTACCTGAAAGACATATACATACACACGCATATATTTAGAAATCAAATACAAAATCAACGAATAGAGAGAGAGAGGGAGAGAGAAAGAGAGATGACCTGATGGTGTTGTCAGTCCTCATGCGGATCCAGTGAGGGATCGGCCTGTTCTGCCTCATCTTCTTCGCTAGCTTCTTCTTGATCATGAAGGTCTTGTGCGACGGCTGTTCCATAAAAACAAACTCAAATTTTAGAGAGAGAGAGAGAGTACAGAGAAAACACAGAGAGAGAGAGAGAGAGAGATCACCATTTTTGCGATCGGGAGCTTCGGCTGGGAGCAGAGAAGTTAGAAACCCTAATCGGAGAAGCCCTAGTCGCTGCAATGGAAGGTATTTATAGTAGAGTGATTTAGGTTAAATTACTTACTTGCCTGTTAGCTAGAAATTGCGACCGTGAAATATGATTGGTTGGTGACGGATGATCATAATGGGCATTCATATTCTAATGTGGACCGACTTTGACAGAGATTGATAGAAATTGGGCTTAGGCCCTATTTAGTATTATGGATCAAACCAAACGCACCTCAACTAGCTTGATTCCATTTTTCCAAAAATACTTTTTAAAAAATTTGACTTTCTTATTTTTTGTATTTTTTTGTTTTTACTGAATTTTTTTAATATTTTAAGCAATTTTTTTTTAAAAAATTTTCAGACATACCTAACATAAATATATTTAAAAAGTAAAAAAATTGTGAAAAAAACCTTTTAAAATTCACTAAATACCAAAAATATAAAAAAAAATATGAGAATTCAATACATTTTTTTTATTTTTATGTATTTATTAATTTTTTAAAATATTTTTTCACAATTTTTTTTTACTTTTTAGATACATCTAAGTAAGGTACATCTAAAAAAGTAAAAAAAAAAATTTAATTTTAAAAATATTCACTAAAAACAAAAAAACACCAAAATCAAAAAACTCAGTTTTCAAAAAACTTAATTCAAAAAACTCAAACCAAACACACTGATTTACTTTCTTTCTTTTTTTTTCTTTTTCTTTTTCAATTTGTGTTATCAACTTAAAAGATTTTTACAAAGAGTGGTGTTACATCTACTAATTTTTTTTTCCTTCTAATTTCATCTCTAATGATGTGGCCATCCCTTATGAAGAGGTCTCGCACTCATTTTTCTCTCATCTTTCATTTGCAGACTAAACATTTTAGTTAAAAAGTAAAAAAATGACAATAAATTGTTGCATCACACTCTACTTCTCTACACATCTTTTTATAAAAAAGTCAAAAAGATATTAATATAGTTTATTTCCAAATGAGGTGATCCCTAGCACAATAGGTACTGTTGTGCGGCCCTATGGGCTTATTTTAGTGTCCGTTTTAATAATTCGAATCGTTTACATTTTAGAATACATCAAGTAGAACATACCTGTAAAAAATTAAGTTAATCAGATATGGTTAACCCTTTCATCCAATCACATTTGTATCTTCAAAAATAAATGATATTGTGATTTAAAGTATTAAAATGAATGCTAATGTGAGTGGATTAAATGGTTAACGATACCCGATTAATTTAATTTTTTATAGATATGTTCTATTCGATGTACTCTAAAATGTGAACGGTTCGAATTATTAAAATGGACTCTGAAATAAGCCTATAAAGCCACATAGGAGGCACCCCAATTCCATGCTACATCTCTTTAATTTTTCTCTCTTAATTCCACTCCTAATGACGTGGTTAACACTCATATAAAGTGGTCATCCACTCCTCTCCACTTATCCTTGGCCTCTTTTAATTCCACACAATTGGGAAAAGGGGCAAAATTAAGTCGATGAATAATTTTTCTTTGTAAATCTCATATATGTGAGATCCATCAAGTATGAAACACACCCAATGTCTCACATCTGTCATGTTTGAATTTATTTTTTGCCATTGAAGAAAAGAAATGAAGAGGAAAAAAAAATAATCAAAATCTCCTATAGTATTGTGCCAAGTCAACAGTAAGGGTGGCTAAAATTTGTAAGAAATTGCTCCATACATAAATAAACAATGGTAGCAAATTTTTTTGGTTTTTAGTTAATTTTTCATCAAATCATAAAAAATGGCACGAAACTAAAAAGAACCTTGGCATAAAAGATTATTGTATTTATAGTTTTGTTAAATAATTTTTAGTAAAACTCTATTAGCATAATACTTTTGAAGCCCTTAGCTAGTTTGATTGAGTGTCAAGAGGCATAGCTTGGATTTACTTATTTTGTTTTACTGTCAAATAATTTAATTGGCTTTGGGCTGCTTTAGGCCAAAAACAAGTTACCACTTTTACAATGAAGTAACTATCTTAATTTAGTGTCTATAGATATTTATTTGTACAAACATAATTGAAAATAACTCTTTTTTGTACCATTATTTTCCATATCCTTTTATACTCTATTTCATGGACTCATTTCATGGTTGACTTGACTGTCCCTAAATGCAAGGGCCCACATGAAGGCATGGCCACCAAGAACACCAAATGATTTTTTTCCTCAATTTTTATTGATTGTCAACCAATTCAAAATAATAATAATAATAAATCCAAAGGAAACCACTAGGAATAAAAATAATTTTGAAAAGTGATTATCATTGCTTTCACCTTGCACCATTAAAAGTGGAAAGTTATTGCAAATGTTTACACAAACACCTAAAAAAATTGATGTCTATCAAAAGTGAACAAAAAGCCACAATAAACAACACAAAATAAGAAATTCTTATTTTTACCAAATTTGATGGAACCAAAGAGCATCAACACCAACTTTAGGTGTCCCCTCGCTTGCCTCAACGTACAAAAGGAATAAGAAAATACTCGGCATAGAACAGCTGCAAAACAAAAAAATTGTTAAAACATTTTGAATGAAATCAAATTAAAAAAATAGAAGAATGCCATTAACTTTCAAGATATTCACACATGAATAGATGTTCTAGATTTCATCTATAATTGAGATAGTTTAGGATTTGCAATTAAATGTATCCATGAGAGAGAGAGAGAGAGTAAATTTGGTTGAGTATCTCCAATTCCACAGGTATTCCAATTTCATGTTTATTACTGATTTTTCCAATCAAAGCATTTACCAGATCAGTTATAAAGATAAAATTAACTTGCCTTACCTATGATTATCTTTTTTGGGTTACATCAATCAACATCTCCTCTCTACTTTTTCTACACATAATATAAAAAAAGTCAAAAAGTACACTTATTTAGTCTTCCCAAACTATGCCTAAATTTGGTTGAGTATCTCCAATTCCACAGGTATTCCAATTTCATGTTTATTACTGATTTTTCCAATCAAAGCATTTACCAGATCAGTTATAAAGATAAAATTAACTTGCCTTACCTATGAACATGTAAAACAAAGTTATTGATGTTTTGCTGGTAAGATTAACAGATCGAGCTTGGATCCAAAGAAACGAAGCCAGTGCACAGTGGCCTAATACCTGCACCAAATTGAATTGACATGAGTTGTAACACACACACACACACAGAGAGAGAGAGAGGAGCATGACTTGAATGGTGCTTTGTCTGAGTAATATATATGACTTACAGTGACAAGCTTGGTGGTTAAGAAGGAAGAAGAAGCTCCAATCACCATTGCAGCTCCATATGCTATTAATAGCATGCTAATGCACAACCAAAATACCGTTGCAAAACAGAAAAAAGCTTTTGAGGAAAAAAAAATTTAGCTATCTTTTCAAGTTATATCTATGCATTATTTTGGTTGCCAAAAAGATTGGTGAAAAAAAAGGATGACTCGTATCTAGTTAGTGGTGGACCTAGAAATTTTGAAGGGGAAGAGTCTAATTTTTTCTAGTTAGGCCAAAATATTCTTTTGTAACCAAACCAAACCAAGTCTCAAGTTCCAAAAACTATATGGCCCTTTTGGAGGGGGCATGTAAAATTTCTTGTAATAAATCCTAAAAAATTAATAGGGTTTTGGAGGAATTTTCAAAAGCATGGCCCCCTCCGTGTCTACCATTGCTCCTGTTAAAGCAGGGTTGGGGGAGGGACAAGATATACGTAACATTATCCTCACATTTAGAGAGTATTTTCATGACTAAAACTCATGCCACTAAAGATGCTAACGTAAAACCTTGTGTTGGCCAAACTGCTCTTTCAAAAAGATGGGTGAAAGAAAAAAATTTAGACTGATGAAAACTTATTTCCGTGGATTTGATAGAGCAAATGTTCAGAATCAATGTTGAAAGATTCCAATTTTTCCCTCTCCACCCATTACTTGGCAACCATTAAAGCAGAGCAAGGTAATTAAAAAATGAAAGTATTTTGTTTTGCTAACTTTTTCTGGCCCTAGGCTGACACTGAATGATTGAATGCCAAATTCTCTATCGCCATCCACATCAGGTATGTCCTGTTAACAAACCATACAAATTCAAATTAGTCATCGTTGGTATAAACAACATTTTAGAGAGATCATTTTGGCATTGAAGTTTTAATTTAGACTGGTTGGTTGTATGCAGCAGAGACAATGACAATTGGAAATGAATAATTAATAGTCTCTTAAGAGTTACCTTGAATAGTGCAATAATAGTGCAGAACAAGCACATGAAACCAGTTGCAAGTACAAGTGATTTTGTAAACACCACCGGTCTACTGAGCACATATTTCTATATAAAGATTTTATTAATCGTATTAGTTAATCTAAACAGAGAAGATTGATAATGGCGTGTTGGTTGCGAAATGATTTAGTTACAAATATGGAGGATTTGCGAAAGTACCTGGATGTGTATGAAGAAGGCTAGTTGAACGACGATTGCCCTCACAATCAAGATGCATATTGCTGCAAGGAATGCATTTCTTTTCCATCTGAGCAAGGGAAGCTACAACAAACACAAATTAAGCAAACATATATACTATTTATGTCTCTATTCTATCAACATGGATATATGAAACAACTTCATAGTACTCGAGGGATGGCACATGATTTTTATGTGCCCTTTCTCTTATATCATTTTTATTCCTTTTCCACGTATGGTTTGCTACCAAATCCTTCGAAGGTTTGTGGAAGTGGTAGCCAATGCGGCACATTTGAATAGTAAGTCTAAATACGTATAATTAAATAGCAGAAAAATATTAAGAATGTACATGTCAGCAAGATGGGGCACAACCAGACCTATCCATGTTTACTAGTATCAAGATTGCATTATGAGTATGTAGACTTGATAAAATTACTGTTAAATGCCCCTATTTCTATGTGAAAGAGTGAACAACAATCATTGTCCCGAAAATTGTTGGATTTTATGGATTCATCACACCCTCTAAGAAGCAGAGAAAGTTGGGCTCAATACTAATGCTTAAATTGTAACAGATGTCTCATCATTCATATTGTTTGGTAATTAGTTTTATTGTTAATATTTAAGCCTAATAATAGGAAAAAAAATGGAGTCAGGCATGGAATTTACCTCGACAGAGTATGCACTCCCCAGTAGAAAACTTACAAGTAGGGCAGAAAACAATGGCGGGGACTGAAACATAATTCCCATTGCGAAACTCTAAAAAGATAGTCAAACAATCAATGATTCAGAAAACCAGATAGTATATATGTCCCTCAAGAATGCAACCAATACATACAATGCTACAAAATATTCTGCATCCTAAATGCCTTAGATTCAAAGTCTGTTAGGCAAACTAGAAAATCTGATCTATGAAAGACAATCTTGAATACTTATGGGAAAGGTCATGTTACTTAAACACAAAACCAAGAGTTTTGGAAGCGCAACAAAACGTCTCAAAAAGCTTGATTGAAACAGGACTTGTTTTGATCACAACTAAGTAAATCTACCAGGGGATCGACATACAAACCATCAATAGACATGTGGACACCATTGCCATTCCAAACTCCATTGAAAATTCTCCGGAAGCTAGTGGGAGAATAGGTTTGTTCACCTAATCAAAACACAATGGAAAGCTTAGAAGCAAGCAAAAGATAAGAATGTAAAGATCATTTTATTTGGAGCTCTAAAATCATTCAATTATATTGATTGTTTTTTAACCTACTGAAAAATGTTCAATTACCTTGTCTATGTCAACATCAAACAGCTGATTAATTCCCACCACATAGAGGTTCATTACTATCGACGGCACTAATGCCTGCAATATAAATGGAAGATGTTTACCAAAATACCCATCAAATGAAATTACATTTCTGTATGGGAATGAATTCCGCACTAGGGTGGAACATTGCCTGAGCGCTTGCTCCAAGCACCCAAACCCTAATTTGCTCTTGTAAGAGGGGCTAATTTGAGCCCACTAAATTATTTAGGCCCAATAGCCCAAGATTAGTGGGCCCGAATTTATCGCAAGTCCAAGAATCGGTGGGCCCAGATTTATCACCATCAAACGGATTGAATCGCTCTAAGAATTCGAAGTTGTTCTTCAAGGATCTTTGAAGATCTTCGAAGTTTCCAACTCCTTTCTTGAACCCTCTCCTACAGCTCTCTCTCTCTCAAGCATCGGAGGGGCTTTCTGGTCACACATTGGCTGTCTAGACTTGCTGTTCTTTGTCTCTCAGGCTCTTTCTGATTGTCAGATCGCTAGGAGCAAGCGCTCAGGCCAGTGTTCCATCCTAGTGCAGAAGTCATCCCCGTACAATTTCTTTATCTCACTAAAACTTACCTTCAATAATCCCACCAAAAATGCCAGGGACAGATCAGCAGTGGATTCCAAAGGAAGAATAGAAATGGATGTTATTTCTATAAGCTGATCATCAATCAAAATGGGAAAACTCATACATGTGATAAACTAAAAGTAAATTTCTCAACTTATCTACACTAAAAAAGGAGGTATATTTCTCAATGTTATTCCCAAGCAAGTGTGAGAGAACAAATGGAAGTACTCACAGTGCCAATCACGGTGTGTGGACATGAAAACCGGTAGAATGCATTCAGTTGCTTAGAAAGATCACTTTGAATTGTTGTCAGATTTTTATCCTTAGGTTTTGATGCACAACCATTTTCTATGGGAAAGAAGTATCGTTTCAATGACTTGCACTTTCTGGTTGTTTTGTTGTCACTGTTTTTGAAATTATCAGCTGAACTAAAAATTCTGCAGCAGTGACATTTGAAAGGCTTGTTGAAGGTGTGCCTGTTTGTATTAATGTTTTGTGTCTGCTTCACTGGAAGTTGAAGTGGTGTAACAAGACCTACACAGATGTAAGGATTGATGATGCATTATCAAAGAGAAGGCATGCGAATTGCAAGCAAGCATGAAATGAAAACTACATGAATGTCTAGAGCTCAAAATAGAGACAAGACTACAAATTCCCATTCTTCCAAAAGTAAGGTTGAACTGTATACTCAACTGCTATGTTTGGTTCATTGGACTGAATTGGAATAGAACGGTCATTCTATTATAATGTTCATTTTCTATTGAATCAAACGCTACTAAGCATATTCAACAATTAAAATCTTGTGACTACCAATAAACTCAGGACATCTGAGTTTATAGTTCATATGTTGTCAACACTTTTTACACGAGAACTTATTCATGGGTTAGATCAGATTCAGAGTTAACCAGAAATGTTAGTGTACATAATCTTGATATTGGAAAATATAAGGGAAGTGCTATTGCCACGTTAATAATTACTTTGCCAGAGTATGTACAGTTGCTTGTGGCATTGAATCACTGAACCTTGCTATGGCAACCAACCACTCTTGCCCTGGCAATAGCATCAGCTGAGTTTCATTGCTAACAATGTGGATGACTAATTTTACATTTTATGTGATAATTTAATTTATATGACTAATTATCTAACTTGTAAATGAGTTAATACTAAAATAGCACAATTGATCTTTGATTTTTATACTGTGTTTAGTTGGGAGATTTGGGAAGAGATTTGGAAAAGGAAATGGAAAAGCGGTATGAAATTAGGTGAAATGTAAGTATATTTCATTCACATTTCACCTTCCTTTTTCATTTCTTTTTCCAAATCCTTTCTCAAATTCTCAACCAAACACGGCGTTAGGATTTTTTTTTAGTGTATTCTAAATCAATTTATAGATGAAAAGTATGCGGCCATTTAGTGAAGTTGGAATATATAAATTGAGTAATTTTACCAACACACCTCATAAAAAAGTGTATATCATATGCATTTATTTTTTCCATCCTTAAATTTAACAAATGAATTTGAGTTATTGATGATAATCATATTGAGTCGTAATCAATACCATCTTAAAACATTATAAAAACTACTTTGATAGTACCAAAAGCATGAATGTAAATATTAGTGGAGACATAACTAAACATCACAATAACTTGTAACTAATTTTAATTGGACAATTTATAAATCCCACCAATATAATTATTCATAACCAAACATCACTTTGATCATAACCAACACTAATTTAAAATGAACACATTGTAGCATGACCCAAATAAATCAACATAGGTTGGTGCTCAAGTTAAAAAGATCCCAAATTAAATCACGACAAAGGGGGTTTAGAGTTTAGCGAATTAGAACAGAGAAATTAATTTAGAAAATGAATAACCAATGAGAAGAGAAATTAGTGAGAGGAAAGGGGACCCAACATACCTTGATGATCATCATGGAAAGAGATTTTCAAATGGTGGTGGGTGCTTGAACTTGTACACAAGTGAACCATCTCTCTCTCTCTCTCTCTCTCTCTCTCTCTCTGAAAATAAAAAATAAAAAATATATATACGATTTTATATATGCATGGTGAGTACACATATTTGATTTGTTCAACTGGCACTAGCCAAAGAACTCTCACACTTGGCAATGCCTAATTGAAATTCAATCTCTCTCTACATAACAGAATTTGAAAGATCTGAAATATATATAATTTTGCTCGTTTAAATTTTTCCGTAACCTTAACAAAATTTTCAGACTTAAGCTAGGGTTTCTTTAAAGAGAGCACCCAGAAAAATAATGGGGACTTTGGTGCATGTCTTAATGGACCTACGCAATACTCAATAGGTGACGTGAGAATTAATGATATTTTTTAATATATTAATAATTAATTTAACTTTCAAATGTCATTTTTAAATATTAATTCTATAATATTTAAATGATTACTGTCATCGTGATTATCATTGTCATGATGAGATTTAATTGATTGATTATCAAAGACGACGCGATTGGGATCGGGACTAGAATTAGATTCATTAGAGGAAGTATTATTATTATTTTGAAAATCATTAGGGGAGTTATGAGTTGGCCCTATGGACCGGTCTTATTACCCAACAGGTCCTATCCAAAAAAATCAAATAGTGTTTTCCATTTTTACTCCTTGACTCAACATTGCAACTTAAAATTTTTAGTGATAAATTCACAAAAACAAACTTATCACTGGTTTAAACAGATTTATCACTAGAATCTTCCCCCAATATACAGAGAGAGAGAGAGAGAAGACATGGCGGCAAAGAGCCTAGATCCTAAATCTAGAGGTGGAGGCGATGACGACTGTGGAAGTGGAGGCGGCAGTGGTCGGCAACGACGGTGGAGATGGAGGCGAAGATGTTGGTGGCGGTGGAGGCGAAGACATCGGTGGAGGTGAAAGCAATGGTGAAAGTTGAAGAAGATGCCGGTTGAGGTCACCAAAAATAACGACAGTAGAGGCAGCAGTGGTCGACGGCGGTAGAGATGGCGATGGTCGTTGGTAAATGAATGTATAGAGAGAGAGAGAGTTTCTTTTTTCTTTTTTTTCTTTTTTTCACATATCTGAGTATAAAATATGAGGGCAAAAATAGCGTAAACAAAAATGTTCATGACCTATAGATAAAAGAGTCTCCATTAAGGACCTGTTGGGTAATAACCCTTGAAAATAGGACTGGCCCATAAAAATTCCTAAAATTATGTGCAAGAACAAAAAAATATAAAAAATAAAATTATGTGCCAAAAGATCCAAAAATAAATAAATAAAATTATGTAATCTAGCTACCCAAAAAAAATAAACTTTTTTTTTTGTTTTTTCCCGCATAGATTTTTGGGAATTTCTAACCAAAAAATAAATTATTTAGCTATATGCTATGATTTTTGGAGATTACAAAAATCCAAGGCTCTGTTTGATTTTATTTTCAAAATTTATTTTTTAAAAGCATATATTATAAAGTTAAATGGAAAATAATCTCTTTCCTTTTAGCTTTTATTTTATTTATTTTTCTTATTTGTTCATATACACCACAACACCACCTCAACGTCATCATCATCATCAACATTTCAAGTTTTAATTTTATTTTTGGGAGTTTTACGGGCTAGTCTTATTTTCAAGGGTTATTACTTAACAGATCTTTAATAGAGACTCTTTTACCTATAGGTCCTGAACATTTTTGTTTATTCAATTTTTGCCCTTATATTTTATATTCAGATCTGTGAGATAAAAGATGAAAAAGGAAAAAAAAGGAAAAAGAAAAAAAAAGAAGCTCTCTCTCTCTCTACACATTCTTCCACCAACAACCATCACCATCTCTGCCATTGTCAACCATTGCTGCCTCCATTGTCGTCATTGCCGGTGACCTCAATTGGCATCTTCTTCCACTTTCACCTCCATCGATGTCTTCGCCTCCACCGCCTCCGATGTCTTCGCCTTCGCCTCTACCTCCACCGTCGTTGCCGACCATTGCCGCCTCGACCTCCATAGTCATCATCGCCTCCATCTCTAGATCTAGGATCTAGGCTTTTTGCTGCCAGGTCCTCTCTCTCTCTCTTATTTTAGGCCTACTTACCCAAGAACTTCAACTGGCCCAAACGCCACTCATAAATAATTAACAGAAGGCCTGCCCTCTCTCATATCGGATTGGGGTTGAGCAGCAGCAACCTAGTTCGGGCCCAACTAATGCCCAGAAATTTTAAAAGTTAAGTTGGAAAAAAAAAATTTAAATAAAATTGCTGATATAAATGAAGGTAAGAGCTGATTAGGTTTGATATAAATGGGATTTTATCCATGGTTTTTTGTTTTTGTTTTGTTTTGTTTTTTTTTTATGTTTTTATTTGCATTTTTAGATAACATCCAACTTTTAAACTTTTTTTTATTGGGGATTTTTGTCTAAAATCCCACACATATTTTAAAAATATATATTGTTTAAAAATTCTAAAAATCTGCACACAAAAATATTTATGTGGGCTTAATATTAATTATTAATTTCATGCTATTACTGTATTACATTAATATTATTTATTTGCACATACATGGTATTTTTATTTTTCTAGTTTTGAGACCATGATCTCCATGTGGGAAGCTATCAATTTCTCAATTCAGAATATGTACTATTAGGCTGTTCAAACTTCTGATCCAGAATTGTTCTTAAAAAAAAACTTCTGATCCAGAAATTATAATGTATCTGTTAAGTTAAATTAAATATATATATATATATATATATATATATATAATATATTGTGCAATCACTTATAAAATTATTTTTTTTAAATGCACAAAATAGACGCAACTCTATCCCATGAGTGAGCTCCCACAAATTGTGTAGTTCACACATCTTTTATATCTAATTCTATGATCAAATTTTGTGTACGTAAGAAGAATTGAAATATAATATTAAAGCTATTGTAGCACAATTCTGTAAGTAATTTATAAAAGAGAGATAAGAAATTAGAATTTTATGCATCTTTTTTTTGTTGGTTAAATAAGGTAAAAGAGAAAAAGAATAATAACAAAATGACATTTTGCTTTATAGCTGAAGATTGGAGTAATCCAGAGAGGCATGGAGTGCAATTGGTTTGGTTGGGGAGTACCCCAACAAGTTGGGCCCGACATTTGACTTGATAGTGTGAGAATATTGTCAAAAAGCATAGAGAGACCAAAGAGTGTCTTTTCAAGTGGACAGCCCCAAAACCACATTGAAAAACATGGAAATAACATAGCGAATTTTGATATAAATTGTATATATTATTTGGATAACGAGGGTATTTGAGACTTTGTTCCGACTAGTTTCAGAGCATGTAGTACCCTCGTTTTACATATATCGCCTGCTTCATGCAATTCAAATTCATAACTTATATTTGTAGGTATTTATCACAATCAACTTTTTATTCAGCTAATTTCTTAAATTTTGAAATAGTGTTTATTTAGTAATGAGGGTATCTTACATTGTCAGACTAGTTTTGAAAAATATACAATTCGCTCATTTTACAACATATTAAGTAAATTACGGGCGCAAGTCCTAAGTGGCCACAAAGAGGATGAGCGTTTTATGAATTTTGAATTCGTGACTTACACTTTTTGAGATATTATCATGATTCAACTTATCTTTCGTCAAATCTCTTAGACATTTTTGTCCATCTTTTAATGCATTTAATTCAATATTTTTTACAGTGTTGCGTTCTATTATACCCAAACTAATAAATCAAAGGACCCACATCTTCTAATTCCAAATCTATACCATGTTGGTAGTAAGAAAAAAGAAAAAAAAATAGCCAACAAGTTTTTCCTGAAACTTAAGCACCCTAAAATATTATAGCTAATCCTGTGAACTTAAATGAAATGCCACTAAGAATTCAATATGTTTTCCAGATAATAAAAAAAATTAAAAACAAAAAAAAAACAAAAAGAACAAAACAAAAACAAAAAAACAAAACATAAGGAAAAGGAAAAGTTCCAAGGCATGTTCAAGTCAATATTCATACCTGTTAAATGTCTTACATGTTGTCATGTCTTTTGACTTAATTCTTGTGCAAACCTCCAAGGATTTAGGTTTTTGATATCAACTTAGGGCACTGCTAATGACAAATAATTAACGCTCGAAAAGTTTAATGTCTTCTTGTTTGAGGCTAATAGGCTTTGTTTCTAGCTCAAATATCTCTAATCATCTAGCATCAAAAGTGTTCAAATTTGCTTACCAACTGTGAAATTTCTTAGTTTTGTAATAAATTTTAAAAATTTCACTAAAAACCGTATTATGCATGGTGGCCGCAAATGGCAGTCATTAAAATATTTTATAACGGTCTTTTTTTTCTATATCGTAGTTTTCGAAGAACAGGAATTCACTAACAGGCTTTGTTTTAGCTCAAACTATCCTTCGATCATCTACCATCTAAAGTGTTCAAATTTGTTTCCAACTGTGAAATTTATAGTTTATAAAAAAAATTTAAATTTTCACCAAAAATCCTATTATGCATGCGGCGCAAATGGCATTCTCGAAAACTTTTGCGATGGTCTTTTTTTAAGTACTTTTAGATAGGCTGAGCAAGGAATCCGTGAAATTCGTAAATCCGATCCAGCCCAGTCCAATCCGATAGGTTTTAGATTGATTTTTTGAATCCGTGGTTCAGTTCCGGATTGAAGAATTAAAAATTCGTAGTTCACGGAGGGGTTCTGGATTGACCCCACGGTTCCGGATTGGAACGATCCGGACCGTATACAATAATCTATATTTTTATTATACATCCTCCCCCATAATATCTTCTCTTATTCTATATAAAACCTAACTCAAACCTAAACCGTTAAATATCTTCTTTTATTACTTTTATTTGTTAGTTTTAGTTTTAATTTGTAATTGTCTAAATACTTATGGTGAAACTGATTTTCTTTATGATTGTTTAACTTCTAGAAGTAAGCCCTATTATAGAAAAACATATTGCTATTGTGGAACTAATTAGCGCTATATTTATGTTTTATGAAATTAAAGTGTTATATATATTTTTTTGTTATTTAATTATGTGAATCTGTGTCCTAAACCGATCCAATCCGTGTTTAAATTGATTGATTGGATTGGTTCTATGATTGAAACGGATTTGGATTGGTTCTAATTTTTAAGAACCATAGATAACGGATTGATTCTGATTTTACCTCAATCCGATCTAATCCGGACCATGCTCATCCCAACTGTTAGAAGAATAGGAACCCTACTATTTGCAAGTTCAACCGCCTTGGGATGGAGCAAGCTTTAGAACAATTAGTCAGAATCAATTAGTTTATAATAAAGTCCAAATCATAGGTTTTGATTTGGA